CCCTCAGCCTTTCCTCATAAGACCTTCCCTCCATACCAGGCAACATCCTGGTAAATCTCCTCTGCATCCTTTCCAATGCTTCCACATCCTTCCTATAATGCGGTGACCAGAATTGTACGCAATACTCCAAGTGCGGCCGCACCAGAGTTTTGTACAGCTGCAACATGACCTCATGGCTCCGAAACTCAATCCCTCTACCAATAAAACCCAACATACTGTACGCCTTCTTAACAACGCTATCAACCTGGGTGGCAACTTTCAGTGATCTATGCACATGGACACCGAGATCTTTCTGCTCATCCACACTACCAAGAATCTTACCATTAGCCCAGTACTCTGTATTCCTTGGATAACACAGACATTTATTCTCTATGTATGCTTGATAATACATATGGTATCATGCATATGCACAGAATAATACATAAACCAGCGTGTGGTACATTGCAAGAATAGATGAGGGGAATGGTTTAATGCAGATGGTTGTTAAGGCCCAGAAACTATGATAGAAACAGCTTTAATGATTGAAGCATTGCTGACACGGTTCAATTTAGGAAGTCAAATTTTTGTCGTTGGTTTTAATTGTCACCAACTGCTTTCTTGGTGGATCTGTGTAGCCCCAGGTTTTGCTACCTCCTGTCCAACAGCTAAGACAGAAATAACAGTGTACCTCACGAAATGAACTGAAACAAATGATAACAGCAACTAAAAATAGGGAGGCATTAGCTGTAAGTGAAAATTAAAGAAATATGCAAGTGCAAAATCATAGATACTTAGGGGAAGATATAAAATTTTGCAAATCAGATCAAATACCATAACCTCAAATTTGATCTCTGATTTGTGATGTCAGTGGACCTTTTAATACGTTGTTGCCTCTGCAATCTTCCACAAAATCTATAGAAGTAGGTATCATTACTGCTGTAGCAGGTTTGTTCCTGATGGGCAATGAGAGAAAGCATTGGTGTGGGAGACTCTTTGAATTTTTAATTCACCCTGTGATTATATTGAGTCTTTACTGATTATCTACCTCCAAAGATGGTTCAATTACTGGAGAGCAGATACCCCTCTTCATTCAGATGTCTAGCTCTTAAGTAAAAATGCAATGCATGCACAAAACACTTTTGGACACTACAATGTTGCACTCTATTCCTTATGGGACAATGCAACCTCTGGTATGTGCATTAGGCTGTAAAACCATTTAGGATATCTTTCATTAATGAAAATTGTGACATTGCAAGGTATCCAATGCCAAAGATGTGGGCATTCATTTCTCATCCATAATGACCCTTGAGAAAGTGATGGTTCATTTCTTTCTTGAACTGCTGCAGTCCACATGGAGGAGGGGTAGCATGGACAAGTTGGGCAAAAGACCTGTTTCCATGCTGTAAACCTCTTTGACTCGACATACTTCCACAGCGCTGTTAGGCTGGGACTTCCAGAATTTTGACTCAGTGATAATTTATGATGGCTATGACTTGCAGGGGGATTCTCATTTGGTGTTTTTTATATAAAAAGAATCATCCATGAGATATGGGCATTACCGGCTGGGCGACCATCTATTGCCCATCTATAGCTGTTGAGAGTCCAACATATTGCTGTGAATCTGCAGTCACATGTAGGCCAGACCTGGTAAAGACAGCAGATTGCTCTTCCTTAAAGGACATGAGTGAAACAGATGGGTTTTTTACTTTGTAAAACTAGCAATCATGAGTGGTCACCATTATTTTGGATTTTATAAAATTCAAATGTCATCATCTGTCAAGTGTTTATCAGGATTAGCTAGCCCTATGACATTACCACTACAGTCTTGCATGTGCCTGATGTCCTTGTTCTATTTCCACAGGTTTGAAAAGTGTTGTCAAACAGTGAGTTGCTGCAGTGCATCTTGAAGATGATACCGGCTTCTGCCGCTACACTGATGCTGGAGTTAATGAATAAGGTGATCTACAGAGGGACAATGGTATTGACTATTATTGGAGCTCCGCTCATCCAAGTAAGTGGTGAGTATTCCATCACACTTCTGACTTGTGCCTTGTAGATATTGGACAGGCTCTATGAAAACAGGAGTACAAAGAGCAATATAAACATATTCACAATTTCCTTCAATAATGGAGTGAAATTAGCCTTCAGTGTCTGGGCAACTATTAAAATTGATGAGACTCTATAATGAATAGATTAGCACTAGGCTATCTTATAAGTAGTGAAAGTAGCAATTATCTCAAAGTAAAGTTTTGCAAAGAAATACGTTCACGGAAATCCGTTGTAAATTGAACTTGAGCTGTGAAAAATAGTTCTCCACAAAGTAACAGCAACTTAACAGAACTCTAAACTGCTGTGTATATTCCAACCTTTAGCATCATGTTAAAGAACACCAGAATGAATGAGGGCAAACTTTACCCTCATCATAATGAAGTGCCTGTATATACTGTCTGGGCCAAATGGCTTCTGTCTGCACCATAAAAATTCTGTGAATATCTCATTTTACTGCAAGGTTTGGATTGATTCCAATACATCAAAATCTATCTTGATCAAACGATCGAAAATTTGTTTTACCACTGGGCAAAATGGACAAATGAAGGAAGTGCAGAAGATAAAGAGAGGTGTTTCTTGAATATTTTTTGAATAGATTTGATTTTTTTTAACTCCTATCCTGACCTTTTACTGGATATGATTTTCAGGCTCCATAGAGAAACTTGCATGGGGAGTGCAGACAATACGACTGATCCTAATTTGCACCAAGTCCTTTTCAGCCTTATTCTTACTGACCTATAATGGCTCACAGTCCACAACATCATCAATCTAAAAAAATGCATCCTTGTTTTCAAATCCCTCGATGTCTTTGGCACTAAGCATTGCTGACCTCATCCAGGCCTACAACCCAACAAGACCTTTGCACTCTTCCAAGCCTGGCCTCTTGTGCAGCCCCAATTTTAATCATTCCATTTCGGAAGGCTTTCCCAGCCCCCAGGATCTGGAATTTCTTCTCTAAACCTGTCCCCTTGCCTACATGCTCTAAGACACACCTTTAGACATATTTCTCTGATCAAGATTTGGTCCTCTGTCCTTTTGTCTCCTTAAGTAGCTTAGTGTCAAAATCTGCCTGATGACAATTCTGTGACAGAGCAATATTTTCATGACAATAAAGGAATTGTTGGTTACTTGTGACCGTAAAGCTAATTCATTCATTTTTGTATTCTCCAGCTGGCATCACTAAGCAACTGGATTTTCCCTCCCTAATCCCAGAATGAAGAACCTTTTCAGACTTGACAATGACCCTCATAAATTCAGAATGAATAGGCTAATTTATTTTCATGTCATGAAGCGGCCAGACATAATGTCTGATGATACTTCACTTTGTCCTATATTTTAGCTCTTCCGTGAAATGAATTCTTATTTCATTTGGAATCTGTTCATTGCTAACTTCTTCCAATAAATTTTCATTGACTTTGAGTGAGTACAATACATGTCAGATACATGCACACAACAGCAAACATTCCCACTATAATACTGTCCTATGAATGAAATGAAGGACCTTCTGAATATAAAACAACACCACAATTTATGAATCATTTATTACTAGCTCTAACTTATGCTTTGTGCAAATGTAAAGGATTTCAAATCAGGGATTACAACTAGCAATGGAATCCCCATAATAAGCTTTATTAGTCCACAATGGAAGATTTACTGGACTGAGCAACATCATAAATTTCATATTGCTTGCTGATTCCTGAGAATAACGTTAACCTGAGGGTTGGAAGATGACAAAAAGCAAAATATTTGATAGAATTCTACAATAAAAACAGGAAGTGCTATATCAGCACTTCAGCAGATCAAGCAAGCAGCTACCTTAGAGAAGGAGGTGGGAGTTGACTTAATGGTTGATGAGCCTTGATCAGAAACATTGGCAGATTATTAAGAGCTAAGAATTAAAAGCAAATCCCACCATTCTCCCCTCTCGCTTTATCAATGGGACTTAGGTCTGCCCATGTTCCCTTTGCTACATTCATCTTCCAACTGAGAGCTCAATGTCGACTGTGGATCATTATTTGATCATTTTCAATGACATTCAACAATTGGTCATGTTCTTGCCTGTGGGACACATTGCAAATAATTTTTGAACCTCCACCTTCTCAATCCCCAAAACAGATGAGGAGTCTCATCAACTACTGGCTGGAAGTCTTAACTGTGAACTGAGGAAACCACCCAATTAATGTGACCATTTTTAAATAGGCATCAAATCTGAGAAATTTTCTCAGAAAGGTGCGTTTGGAATTTTCCCATCTACTTCCAGAAATGCATGAATCTCAACATCGGTTTCACTCTTAATATCTTAGCTCTGCAACAGAACAATCAGTAAATCTTCCAATCAGTTAAAGGTTTGCCTTCAGTATACTATGTTGCACAGTCTTCTGCCAATTTTAGTCTATACTGAATCATTTGTTGAATTCAGAGAGAGCTGCATTTCCAAAGCTTGGTGATTTTGCAAGCCCGATCTCATTGAGAACATACTCTCCCTTCTGTATTCAGTTAGACTCCCTTGACTTGAGATAATTGCTATTCCCAAGTATGTTCTGAGCTTCTTACGAAACTCTTTGGAGGCAAAATAATAAATGAAAGGGTCAAGGCAGCTATTTAAGCAGCTCAGGGTGAGTGTGACTTTATAGGCAGTGTAAACCCCTTTGTTGAAAAAGATCCGTTTGATGATATGAATGAGAAGGATAAAGTTGTTGGGTGCAAAACACGTTACAAACACCAGGAGCACAATTAAAGCTAAGCCAATAGCTCTCTTCTTCTGTGCACTGACATAACTTGAAGAGGTGTTGATCAGCTTGGCAATGATCCGAATGTAACAGTACACAGTGACACTAAAAGGAATTAAGAACAGGATGACAAATAAAGTGAATAGAAAAGCAGCCCAAGCTTCTTTGGAAGGTAGCATGTCCATCTTCAGAATGTCAAAGCATGTGGTAATATTTAGTTCATGAACTTCGTACGTCAAATCCTTTATCTCCAGTGGCAGCAAGACGACCAACATGACCGCCCACATTCCTAGACAAATTGCAACCGCATGCTTCTTTGTCCGCCATCTGACACAGTGCATTGGGAGCACTACTCCTACATAGCGGTCCAAGCTAATACAAGTCATCGTTAAGATGGAACAGTACATGTTCGCATAGAATAGCACAGTAACCACATTGCACAGGTTAGTTCCAAAGGTCCAATTGTTACCTTTCCAGTGGTATGCGCTCTGAAAGGGCAGAAATATGGCAAGGAGAAGATCGGTGAGGGTAAGGTTGATCATGAAGACGATGGATGGTGTCTTAGGTTGTGCTCGGCACAGGAGAAATAACGAGAACCCATTCCCAGGCAGGCTGATGATTGCAACAATGAGGTAAAAGATTGGAAGGGTGCTCTGAATTATATGACTTGATAGCATTTCCAGAGTATCATTATCCAAGCTTCCATTTATGGCCATGATGAAATGAGCCGAAAAGAACAGAAGCCTCAAATCGAAACCACAACAAATGGATGGATTTTCTTAAAAGAAGGAAAGAACAGAACGTTATTAATCATAAATCAGAAACACGCTCCCTAAGAAGAATGTTTCTGTCACAAGGAAAAATCAAATTTGGGTTTGAATGAAAACTTTATACATGATCAGGCTGCAGCAGTTTGGGAAGTATGCACACTGCAACATTTTTGAAGGGTAAGTCGGAATGTGCAACTTATGCCAGCCTTGCCAGCGATGCCCACATACCAAGAATGAATGACACAAACAACTTGATTTAAACGAGTGGATGCACAACTTGGAACCAAATGTTTCTTTTTGTACTCTCAAATTGTATACCAGACTGCTGTATAAGCAGAATAATTAACTGTGTTGGTGCGCCGTGATACCAGGGATTTTTGATTGGAAAAGGTGATTGCACAAACAACAAGTTGCATTTCTTTCACATTCTACAACATCCAAAGACTCTCCACAGGAACAGCATCAGACCGAATTTGACACCAAGCTATATAAAGCATTATATGTATCGCCTCGGGTGGCTTGATGAAAGAGATTGGCCAGAAGGAGTGTGAGAAAGTGAGGGAAATTTAAGGAAGGAATTCCTAAGTTCAGAACCTAGGCAGCTGAAGGCACAGCAACCAATGGTGGGAAGATGAAAATCATTCCCATGTAAGAGGCTAGAACTGAATAAGTTCTATTCAGTGGAGGCTTGTTGGGATGAAGGAGGTTACAGAAGTTGGAGCAATGATAGCAAGGAGGGATTTGAAAATAAAGTTGAAATTGAGATGCTGCCAGACAGGCAATAAACACAGGTCAGCAAATACAGGAATGAGGACTGAATGGGATTTGTTTCACATTGGGACATAGGCAGGAGGACGTGCTTATGTCTACATTGTTTGCTAGGAGAGGGCTAGGAGAAACAGTTGTGACCAGAGGTATGTCTGTTTTTACAAGTGGAAGAACATCTCTGAGCATATTAAAAAATAGATTTAGACTGTTTATTCTCAGTTGCTACACACTTTCTTCAGATTTATATCATTTGCTAAGTTCTCATTTTATCACTGTTCTGTGCCAATATTACGCCAAACATAATCTCAACAAAACATCTTCAGTTGCATGAATGTGAATGCCTCCATTTTGTAAACAACTGTCTTGTGTCTTCTCTGGGGCAGAGTTGTATTTGGGATGAAATGAGACTGCAACTAATTTAACAAAGGATTTTTTTTCTTAGAATGAATTGTGTTAAGGGCAGAAAATAGTGAACCACGATAAATAGTTGTTATTCGGATTGAATGATGTTAGACAACAATGTTCCCCAATTGTCAATGCTTGGGACCATTGCTTTTTCAAGATATGACTTGCAAATTGGAACAGAGAGTATAATGTCAAAACTTGCCAAAAATAGCAAACTTGGAGGTGTGATAGATAGCAAACACCTGCGATAGGAGTTACAGTGAGTGAGCAGATTTGGCAGCTAAACCAATGATGGGCAGATGGAAAGTAAGACAGAGAAGTGTGAGGTGTTGCATTTTTATTGGAAATATAGGAAGGGCTGATACAGGCTTAATGAAACAGTTTTACAAGGTACACAAGGACAGCGGCTCTTGAGGGTTGACGTGCACAGATTTATTAAGATCTCGGGCCATGTTGAGGTGCCAAAGCAAATAGGATCTTGGACTTTTTAAATATAGGTACTGAGTACAAAAGCAGGAAGTTATGCTGAACAGATGGTGAAGGAGATGTTTCCCTTTGTGGAGGTGTTTGAAACTTGTTTGCAAATTGCCATGAGATGAGGAGAAATATTTTTACCTTAGAGGTTTGTTGGCCTGTGGCGCTCTCTTCCCCAGAGATCAATCGAGGTGGTGTTTTTGAACATATTTGGGCCTGTATTGGATTGGTATTTTGGTAGCCATGGAAGGTGGGAGGGGTCGGGGGGGGCAGATGGTAGAGGTGAAATAAGGCCACACTCAGATCACCATGGTCTTGTCGGTAGTGAAGGACAATGGGCTAAGAGGCCAACTCTTGCTGATAATTCTTGCATTCTTCCATTCTTGAATCAGAACTTTATACAGGTCTCAATTACGATCCACCTCATTTTCAAGGCCTCCGCCTCCTTCCTCACTACCCAAGGGCCTGGAAGAATTAATCCCATTCTCGATGAGGAGGGATCTCTAATGCCATGATCAGGGTTTGACTTAGGAACATCGCAAAAGCAGGAGGTTACTTAATCTCTTAGGTTTGATGCAGAGTTCAGTCAGATCCCAGTCGATCTGTATCTTGACTCCAATTACACTTAGTTTAGTGTCTCATTATCACCTAACAAAAATCTAATAAAATCAGCTGTTATGATTTCTATTCATCATCGGCCTCAACAGCATTTTTGGGAAAGCAAGCTGCGTTTTTCCATAGAACATAGAACAGTACTGTACAACACAGGAGCGGGCCCTTTCGCTGGATGCTGGACATGACACCAAATTAGACTAATCCCTTCTGCCTACCTTTGGTCCATATCCCTCCATTCCTTGCATATTCATGTTCTTATCTAAAAGCCCGTTAAACACCCCTATCATATCTGCCTCCATCACCACCCCAACAGTACATTTGACACCTACCACTCTGTGTAAAAAACTTGCCCCTCACATCTCCATTGAACATGTCCCCTCTCACCATAATTGCATGCCCCTCTAGTATTAGACATTTCAACTCTGGGGAAAAGATTCTGATCTTAAACCCTGTCTATGCATCTCATAATTTCATAAATTTCTATCAAGTTTCCCCTCAGCGTCTGCCACTCCCAAAAAAAATCAACCCTCTCCTTATAGCTCATACCCTCTAATCCAGGCAGCATCCTGGTAAACCTCTTCTGCACCCTCTCCAAAGCCTATGCTTTATGTGAAGATGTGGTTCCTGATAGCATCTCTCATTGACATGGTGCTAATTTTAATGCCATTGGCTCTTCATTCCAATTGACCTGTCAAACAAAATATCCTGTCAACCCATACAACTATCTTAATCAGCTCAATTGGATTCCTGCTTAATCCCACAACCACAGAACTGTTATGGTGCAGGAGGATGTTTAAGCCCAGAGAGAGTGCAGTGGAGATTTACTAGAGTAATACCAGGAATGACGAGTTTTAGATACAAGGAAAGATTGTAGAAATTGGGCTTATTCTCCATAGAGCAGAGAAGATTAAGAGAGATGACCTTACTGACGTGTTCAACACTGTGAGCAATTTTGACAGGGTAAAGAAGGATATTCTGTTTCCAATAGTTGGTGTGTCACTAACGAGAAGTTGCAATTTCAAGATTGTCAGCAAGAGAGCTAGGAGTGAGATGCAGAGAAACTTCTTTACTCAGAGAGTTGCTAGGATTTGGAGTGTGCTACCTGTGAGAGTGTTGGAGGTGGATTCAGTACCAGGTTTCAGTAGAGACCTGGATATATATCTGAAAGTGATGAATTTAGAGGCTTACAGAGATAGGGCTGGAGAACGGGGCAAGCTGAGTACCTTTTTGGAAGTTGATACTGACATGATGGGTTGAATGGCCTCCTTCTGTACTGTAAAATTGTGTGATTCTATAATTCAGCCCATTGTGTCTGCATCAGGGAGGAGAGAAGACAAGCCATTTCTTTGAATCCTTAACTCTTTTTGTCATATTGTTTCAATCTTGGGAATCTGCCCTGGACATTCACCAAGACTGCAGTAATGAGAAGTACACAAATTTTAAAGTAAATACTCTTTCATAGATCAATAAATAAACACAATGAATATCTGAAGTGCTAACATTTTATCACACTTTGCTGCAGTTTACCTTTTAGTGAGGTGGTTGTTTTTGACGAGGGTGGATGCAATGGGCCAAAGGGCCTTTTCCTGTGCTGCAAATCTCTATGACTCTATGATCTTCCCCCCCACCATGAAGATGCTGGATAAAGCCACAGACTCCAATATTTTCCAGAATTCGTTCCACACTGTTATTTAAGCTTCTTCAGGCTGCATGTTGACTTTGGGCCGACCCTTTATCTCAACGAGCCTAAGGGACAGAAAATACACTTCTTTAAGTCCAGCAGAAGTTGAACATATAAAAGGAAAGTATGCTTTATAACTGTCATTTATCCTTAACTGAGACATTTACTTGGCAAAGTTTATGCAGTACTGGCCTGTCAACACTCATGGTGTGTCCTGACATGTTTACAGTTGGAATGTCAGATGTGAAACCTTTGTTAGTGTCTCATTACTGGGCAATCTAGTTTAGCGTCGAGGGAGTACGTTATAGTCAGAATCATTATCTGTTCCGTACATATATATTCACTAGGAATCCCGATATGTTGACCAAGTTTTCTCAATTGATTAATCAGTTATCAATCAACTGGTAATTGTTACCTTTTTCAAAGAAACATTTGCTATATTCGTTTTGAAAGTAATGCGTTGGATTTTATAAGGCACCCAGGTTTCTTGCAATTCCCTAATTCACCATCCCAATTGAAAAGTCACTCGAGAGGCACAAACAGGATAAAGCTGGTTACTTCACACTTTCTACTTAGCATGGCCCCCAATATCTTCAAGCACACTGGTGTAAGAGTGTGGAATTCATGCCGATAATGACTTGTCTCTGAACTAATAAGACAGAGAACATGAATTCACCTCTCACCTTCCCTGGGTTAGTAAAAAGTAAATTTGAAATTAAAAGTTGGCAATGATCAAAGTGAAGATGCAGGCATGTAGAAACAACATTAACTTCAAGGTAAAAACCAAAATAACTGCGGATGCTGTAAATCAGGAACAAAAATAAAGTTGCTGGAAAAGCTCAGCAGGTCTGGCAACATCTGTGAAGGAGAAAACAGAGTTAATGTTTCAGGTCCGGTGACCCTTCCTCAGAACTGACATTAACAGCATTATCTTCAAGGTGCCTACCAAGTTACATAGTATCTTGATTTGGACATATATCTCTGATTCTTCACTGGGTCAAGTTTCTGAAATTTCTGACTTAGTAGCACCATAGGAATTTTTTCACTATGGATCATGTCAGAGGCTAGTTATCCTGCAACATGCACCTTATCTCCTGACTGTTCACCATCTACAAGGCACAAGTCAGGAGTGTGATGGAATACTCCCCACTTATCTGGATGAATGCAGCCCCAACAAGCACAAAGCTCGACACTATCCAACTCAACGCAGCTCACTTGAACTGACACCAGTTCAAAAACTTTCACTTCCTGTACCATTGAAATTCTGGGTAGCAACGCCTATAAAATGCACTGCAGAAATTCACCAATGCTATTTCGACAGTACTTTGCAAACTCATTACCGCTTCCACATAGAAGGACAAGAGTGGCAAATATACATGTGTACCACTACAGCAAGTTCCCACTCACAATCTACAATTATATCACCATTCCTTTACTGTCACTGGGTCAAAATTCTGGAACTCCCTGCCTAACGAAATTGTGGGTGTACCTACAGCAAATAGACAGCAGTGGTTCAAGAAGGCAGCTCACCATCACCTTCTCAAAGGCAATCAAGGTTGGGCAATAAATGCTGGCTTGACAGCACAGCGTAAATTGGCTTGAATGAGCTGGAGGTTTCATTAAATGGTGGGGTTTGTGTCTTTGTTCACTCGTGCGATGTGGGCATTGCTGGCTGGCCAGCATTTATTGTCTGTCCCTAGGTACCCATGAGAACGTGGTGGTGAGCTGCCTTCTTGAACCTCTGCAGCCCACAATGCCCTTAGAGAGGTGCCAGTAAAATACCAATATTGGGGCCCCTGTGTGGGGCCTTAATTGTCCTATTTGGCTGCTTGCCTCCACATAGTGGACATCTAATCTGGTTCCAGCCTGTCCTTGCAAAAGTCCGCAGGAGGTACATCAGGCAGCCATCCTGATATAGGCCCCACATCCACTTTCCAGTTCTGCCTCCTGATGGAGCTGGGAAAATATAGCCCATAATCTCAAACCTGTTCTGCACTAGTAATTGAGATCTGCCATTATCCACCCAAGTACCCAATGCAGCAAATCTTAGTGAATGTAAACTGTTAACCTGAAAATCCAGAGCTGATTAAAGTTTATTAAGGTTCAAGAATGAACAATGTTAACGGTGACTAAGTAAATTGCAGTTTCTCCTTCAGGCATGATCACAGCATTCCGATTGCCTGCCATCCTGTTCTAGGTTCAGAACTGACTATTTTGAGTTTTCAGTGCAGTTTACTCCTGAGTAAGATTTGCATCATTTGCAATGGAATTCCCCTTTCTTTAATGACACTGGGGGAATTTCATACCATTTTTTCTTGGTCATCAAATCACTTTCATTATCAAAATATGGTATCTGAAGAAACGGGTTGCCCCCTATGATATCAAATGTTTACCTTTTTACAATGTAGTGATATGCGGTGTTTCACTACTCACGCCAATCTGTACATGAGCTTCAACATCCCCATTCATTCCTGGCTTCAATAAAATAAGCAACTTTAATAGGACCTTTTAGTTTCCCCTATCAACTTCTCTTTCTATGCAACTTTCCCTGTTCCTTTGTGTGATCCTCACCACAACGATAAGATGAAAGCCTTCAACATTCCTTCCTAATTGCCCCAAAGCTGGTGCCAGAGTTTTCTGAATGTTTTAGCTGATGAAGTAGGAATGGGGCAGAGTATTTTATTTCTGTTAGGCAGCTGACAGGTAACCACCAGGAAAGAAAACTTAAGGTGGTAAAATGTGCAAACATTGTGGTTTGACTCAGTTGTGGAAGCAGTGTAGGAAGAGGTTTAATGAGCGAACCTGAGTTGTTACGAGGTCTTTCATTCACAGTCAGGTCATAGTCAGCACATCACTTACACCACTTTACTGTAACAGCACCCACTGAATAACATGAACATCCCTTCACTAATAAAGTGATACAGCATGGAAACAGACCCTTCAGTCCAACTAGTCTGTGCCAACCATGTTCCCAAACTAAACTGGTGCCACCAGCCTGCACTTGGCCCATATTCCTCCAAACCTTTCCTATTATTGACTTTATCCAAATGTCTTTTAAACATTGTAACTGTACTTGCATTCACCACTTTCTCTAGTAGTTCATTCCACATACGAACCATTCTCTGTTTTAATAAAAAAAAGTTGCCCCTCATGTCCTTTTTAAATCTTTCTCCTCTCACCTTAAATATATGTCCCCTAGTTTTAAACTCCCTCCAACGACCCTTGTCATTCACCTTATCTATACCCCTCATGAATTTATAAATCTCAAAGTGTCACCCTTCAACCTCCCATGCTCCACTGAAAAAAGTCCCAGTCTTTCCAGTCTGTTTTCATATCTCAAACCCTCCACTCCCAGAAACATCCTGAATCTCTCCAGTTTAATATTTCTCTCAGCCTGACATTGAAACGCCCTTCAGTGACCCTCTCACACTGCCACGGCCAAACACTGGGACTGTTCTCAGTCCTTAGTTTATGAAGCTTCCTGTGTCTGCCACTTGGAAGGACAAGGCCAGCAGCTGCATGCTGATACTGCCTCCTGCAGGCTCACCTCAAAGTCACATGCCATCCTGATTTGGATCTATATCATCATTACTTCACTCTTGCTAGAGTCAAAATCATGAAAGTATCTTCTTAAACAGCACTGAGAGGATGCTTAAACCACAGGAACTCTAGTGGTACAACACTCTCAAGGGGAATTAAAGATGGGCAATAAATGTTGGCTTTTCTCATGACGCCTGCATCCAAAAAATGAGATTGATATTCCCTGTGCAGTGCTGAAGGATGGCTATACTTTTGGAGCTGCCATCTTTGGGGTTGAGGTGTTAAGTCAATGCTGTCAAGGTGATATAAGAATCCTATTTCAAAGAAGATGAGAGGTTTTCCTGGGGCATCTTTGCTGGTATTTGTCCCTGAATCATCCCATCCCCACAAAAAATTACCAGGCCATTGCAATCTGTGGAATCTTGCTGTGCATCGAGTTACTACTGCTTTTCCTGCTTTACGACAAGTGACCACATTTCAAAAGTACTAACTGGCTGAAATGTGCTTTGGGAGATCCTGAGGCTGTGAAGAATACCTTAGAAGTATAAGTATTCATTTATCTTTTTGCCTCTAGCAGGTTCGTCTCCAAGGCACATGCCATCCTGACTTGGATCCATGTCATCGTTCCTTCATTCTTGCTAGAATCAAAATCACGATTGCACAATGTTCAGCACTATTCCCCACTCCTCATGTACTGAAGCAGTCTATGTTCAAATGCAACAAGATCAGACAATGTCTAGGTTCAGGTTGACAAGTGACAAGTAACATTCATGCCACACAAATGCCAGCTACGATGATGATCGTCAAGACACAATCTAACCATTGCCCCTTGATGTTCCTAAGGGTTACCATTGCTGAATGCCCTGCTATCAACATGCTGGGGATCACCATTGACCAGAAACTGAACTGGACTCACTACATTAACACAATGGCTACAAGAGTAGGTCAGAGGCTAGGAATACTGCAGTGAATAACTCACCTCCTGACTGCCCAAAACCTGTTCACCATCTACAAGGAACAGTCAGGAGTATGATGGAATATACAATTGCCTGGATGGGTGTAGCTCCAGCAATACTCAAGAAGCTTGACACCATCCAGGACAAAGTTGATTGGCACACCACATCCAATGACCTCCACCACCTTGCAGCAATGTGTACTATCTATAGGATGCACTGCAGAAATTCACCAAAGTTCCTTATATAGGTCCTTCGAAACCCATGGCCTCTTCCGTCTAGAAGTCCAAGGACAGCAGATATATGGGAACAACAGTATCTGAAAGTTCCCCTTCAAGCCACTTGCAGTCTTAACTTGGAAATATATCACCATTCCTTCACTGTCACAGCGTCAAAATCCCCGAATTCCCTCCCAGTGACATTTTGGACTACTCAACGTTCCACAGCACATGAACTGCAGCGGCTCAAGAAGGCAGCTCACCACCACCTTCTCAAGGCCAGCCAGGGACAGACAATAAATGCTAGCCCTGCTGGTGACACCCACATCTCAAGAATAAATTTAAAAAAAATTCCCTACTGGGGAAGACCCTAGCTCTTTTTCTGGTAACCGATATGTTCAGATATGCTATGACACACCCTTGAAACAAGAACCCAGCTCTTTTTCCTCATTATTAAAAACATAACAACCACTAAATGATCTGTTTAAGCACCCAAATAAGTCATAGGCATGACGCAGCAGGGGCAGTGCGATAATAACAAAAGTGAAGGAATGGGTGGGATAGAGGAGGGGACTAAACTAAAATGGAGTTGGAGGGGACAGATGGTGCACTCCAATCCCTGCAGTGTCCACCTTTCTCTCAATGTCTTGACGTTGCTGATGAATACATTGTGTCAACTCTTCAAGGACACCTGGGTGCGAATGCAAAGAACCCAACAAGAAGGATAGGGAAACAAGGGAGGGGACTAATCAAAATATTGCCCAAGAGGGAAATAATGCACCAACAACCCCACGGTGTCCTCCTCTTTCTAAAAACTTCAAGAACCCAGCTCTTGGCATTTTCTTATCAACATGTTCAGGTGATGTTGGGACTTGAAACCTGGCTCAGAGCTATGGACACCACTTCTGTGTCACAAAAGCCCACACAAAAACACAGCTCTTTCCTTTAACTTTTTTCCAACACCAAATTACCTGTGTCTATAATTAAGTGAAAAATTTGCAAGGCAGGGAGGAGCCCGGCTTTTTTCTCTTAAATCCAGAATTGTTACTACACACAACTGAAAGGTCTTTTTCCAACCATCAAACCTTTTTTGTTTTCCATAACCAGAAGTGCTGTTCCACACAACTGAATGCTTTTATCTTTCTATCACCAAACCACCCAATGGATTTTCATCTATTAACACCATCAGTAAAATCACCAGGCTTTTCCAACTGATTAATTTACATGCAAAGCCCATTAGGGGCAATGCAGACCATCAAAGGTGAGGGAGAGGTAGGGAGAGGGGGAAAATCAAAATGGAATTGGAAGGGGTGATAAAGCACTCTACCCCCTCCAGTGCCAACCGTTCTCTAAAAGCATTGATTGTACTGGGACACCATTTGCTCCCTTCTCTGATGACATCCAGGCACAACCACAGCCATTGAAGAAGGGCAAGCAATAGGGAACTTGGACCTGTTAATGGCCAACTGAGCCAGGAACTCAGCTCTTTTTTTTTGAGATGAAAAGAACTCAGCTCCTAAATACAAAGTCCAATGGCCTCATTGCATTGTCTCAATCAAATATGGAGCTATCCTGCTTGACCCTTGGCGAGAAACTGAGAGAAACGCGGATGCTGTAAATCAGGAACAAAAACAGAAGTTGCTGGAAAAGCTCAGCAGGTCTGGCAGCATCTGTGAAGAAAATATCATAGTTAACGTTTCGAGTCCAGGTTCTGAAGAAGGGTCACCGGACTCGAAACGATTTTTTCTTTACAGATGATGCCAGACTTGCTGAGCTTTTCCAGCAACTTCTGTTTTTGACCCTAAAAGAGAACTGCATTTCTAACACATTGAACCTGTTCTGCCATTAAGTAAGGTGATGTTGAAAAGCATAAACTTTCTGTCAAGAGAAGACAAGCCTAACTTGTTGGTTCAGGCCCTCACTAGAATTTCACGGCCTAATTATCACCCAGCTCTTAGTCGGGGCTCACTGCCTGTGTGATACTACATTGGGATCAAGAGGAGGAGAGGCAAATTTCTACCTTATTTAGTTAAGATTTGTATCTGGCCTCTGTATCATACCCTGTATAGATTTTTACCTGAAAGAAGATTCAGATATTTTCTACTTCTTCATGTGGTACTGAATCCTAATATGAGATTATCTAACGTGCAAGTTACCCACTGAACTGGATCCCTGTAAGAATTTAACACCACTTTTACTATTGAGGCTACCAATGAAAAAAAAGGACTCACAATTCAAGACTAGGCTTAACCACAGTCTGGTCAGTTACTTAGCTCCCAGCAGTTTTAACTGTGGAGGTTTTTGTGGGTTATAATTTTACAAGATGATTCTTCTTACCTTCAGAACTTGGAAAACAGCTTCGGAGAGACATTTCATAGCATCAAGTATGCCTGGCATTATTGAGATTTCCAACTCAGTGAGAGACCAGCTCAGAAATCCTCTAATTAGTTTCCTCTATTTAACAATGAAACCACTTAAACATTAGCTCACAAAAAAAACCTGGGTCTTTCCAAAATGGGAGTTAACAGTCATCCTCAGCAAATTGGTACAGTCTTTTTTTGTATGGTTCTAGTCCGGGGGGATGTTTTGACATTTTCTGTCTCACTAGAAATGCAAATTGACCCTGTACTCTGATCAGCATGAAACGTTAACATTGAACTACAAATCCCTAGCATCCCCAGTTCCCCGCTATCCTCCCAACCAACAGGATACTCTTGCCCTTGCTTACTTTCACATTCTGATTTGCGATTATTTACAGTTTTTTATTTGTATTCCATGTTCACTATTCATTTCATCTGGCATTTTCCTATTTTCCATTATCAATATCCATAATCACTTTCTGGAGGACCAATACTCACTTATCTTACTCTTTTGTCCTTTTTAAACACCTGCAGAAACTCTTACCATCCCTTTGTACATTTTTAGCTAGCTATCTCTCGCACACCAGTTTCCACTTCCTAATTAATCATTTAGTCTTTCATTGCCGTCCTTTTATATTCTATTCAATGTTTTGACCTGCCGCACACCTCTGTGAAATTGTACGTTTTCTCTTCCAACTTTATGCTACCTTTTCCCTCCACAGTTCGGCATGTAATTCCCTAGAATCTTTCTTTCTCACTCGGTTCTACTTCTTCTAAGCATTCTGAGAATGCTCCTAAAATGTCTCACAGTTCACTAATTAGCTCTGTCTTCATTCCCTCGTAATTGGTCTTTATGAGCTTAAAATGCTGGTGTTCGATCCATCTCCTCTCTCGCAATTAGAATGCAAAATTTAATATTATGATTACTGTTACCTACGGGAGTCTTTTGTATGAGGTTGTTGATTAATTTGGTCACATTGTACATACCAGGTATCACATAACCAGCTGTCTGGTTGGTTCTAGAACATCCTGAACTAAAAGAAAACTGCTCTTAATACCCTGTATGAACTCATCATCCAGACTACCATTGCCAGTTGATTCTTCCAATCTACATGTACTTGTAAATCAAGTTAAACTCATCATCAGAATCCTCACTGTTTTACATTGGTTCCCAGCACGCCTTAATTTAAAGTTAAAACCTCATGCTTTTGTTCGACTCTGTCTCAGGCTCTGATCTTCCTTTGCTCTGCAGTAATGCTAAATAAAATCCTTAAATGCTTTCTCATTTAATCTAATATATCAGCTCCCCCTTTTGCCCACTAAGATCCTCACTTTTAGCTGCCTAGGTATCATGCTTTGGAATTTTCTTCCTAAGTCCCTCCACCTCCTCTGTGTGTGCAAAGTCACCCTTAAATCCCATCTGTCTTCCAAACACCCCTCTTGATTTCCCCCGATATGGAGGTGCCGGTGTTGGACTGGGATGGACAAGGTCAGAGATCACAAAACACCAGGTTATAGTCCAACAGGTTTATTTGAAAACACAAGCTTTCAGAGCCTTACTCCTTCTTCAGGTGGTAGACCGTTTGACTGGGCAGGCATTATCCTTGTAGCTCTGTGAAGCTCACAATAATTTAAATCAGTCGCTGCCTATACATTCTATGCTTTAATTAGTCATCACCTGAGTGTTCACTCAATTTCATTGGTGCTAAGTACAGCAATGTCTCAGGTTTAAAATCCTCAGCTTTTTTAAAAAGTTTTTTCATGTTCACACCTTTGCCACACCACCCCGCTCTGCTTTCTGCAACTCAGCACATTTGCTCACCACTTACCTGTTCCCTGCTGCTTTAACATACTCTCTGAAACCTACCTCTTTGAACAAGCTTTCAGCCACCCATCCCAAAGTATCCTTATGCAGTATACAGCGCATGGACAGCAGTGGACCAGGAATGCAGCTACTATCACCTTCTCAAGGGCAATAAATGCTGACCAGCCAGTGACGTCCACATCCCACAATTGAATTAAAAAAAAAGGTCTCTATTCTTCTGGCAACTTTAAATATATGCCATCTACATTGAAAGTCCCACATTTTAATGCTAATCAGAATGAACTAAGGTTTGGCTTGGGGACATTATTAGGAGGAAAAAAAAAATACAAATTAAGATGTAACTGTAAGTCAATAATTCCAGCTGGCTTAAAACGGAAGTGATGTCTCAAGATCATGTTACAATATCATGTGAAATGATTGCGCCAGATCATGAAGGCAATGAAGGCCTCGTTGTGAAATTAAATTTAAGGATTGGTTGTCAAAACAAAAAGCTCTTGATGTATATTTTGACAAAGTCAGTTAATCTGCTCTGGAAGTGAGCGCAATTCACCATGGTAAGGATTTAGGGTTTTATAAGTGGAGCTCAAGACAACTTCTGAAGAAGGGTCAGCTTTCCTGCTCCTCTGATGCTGCCTGGCCTGCTGTGTTCATCCAGCTCTACACCTTGTTATTTCAAGACAACTCAAAGTTGATTTCAGCCTCCCTGGGGCTTTACCAGGACAGAATGGCATAATTTTCTGCAGAATCCATGGAGCTCTTTTAGATGTGCTCCCCTTTCATGTGTTGGACAGGGAGATAATTTGCCATCACCCAATCCTTTAGAATTTAAAGGGGCACTTCTATTGAGGCAAACAGAATCCCAGAACACATGGATTGTGCCATCTTCATCACAGCAGAAAATGGTCCTTCCCAGGCCCACTCCGAACCCAGTAAACTGAGGATTGGTGTCTATTATACGCAAGAACTGACTGCTGTGATTAGAATATTCTGCAAACCCTATCATAGCAGTGAACTAAGAGTCCTGTCTTTAAATAGTTCCCAGGATCTTTCATCAGTCCGGCTACTTCCTGGAGCAGAATGTAATTACAATGAATTTTATGAGAATTAGGAAATAAAGATTGCCAAAAGTGAAGCAATTGGAAGACATCAAAGCTAGAACTGCTTTGTTAAATCTGTAATCGCACATTTAATGAGTCTTCCCTTATATAAAAAAATCACAAAGAACACACTGACTAAAGTCTTTATATTTTCGTTTTGCACATTGCTACAAAAACAGAAATTGCCAGAAAAACTCAGCGGGTCTGGCAGTATCTTTGGAGAGAACGCAGAGTTAACCTTCTTCAGTGACCCTTACACATTATTACTCAGGAAGTGACCAAGATGTTGCGCAACACCATGATGTTATGTTAAGGTTTTGGAGATAGGTGTGAAGAAATAACGACTGTAGATATTTTTAAAAGGGCCTGATTTTAACTCACTCAGAGTTTTAGTGAGAATTAGAAGTGGGTTCAAAACAACTGCAAGAGCTGATTTAGTTGATGTCAGCTGCTGTCAATGATTTATTTAAACCCTTAAAATGTCATGCTCTTCATGACTTTCAGAAAATTTAAAAAAGGCTTGTTTTCCCCAAATAGCAGGCCGAGTTCACTATCACAGGGTGTAGTTGAAGCAAATGATATAGATGCATAAAACAGAATGCTTGCCAGTTCAGGAGGGCAGAAGGAACAGAGGATTATGATGACAGATTTAGATGAGGTAAGATGCAAGGGGGCTGGAAAGGAGCATAAACATCAGCATGGACTAGTGGGCCTTGTGGCCTATTTCTCTGCTGTATGACCTAATCTGGATTGTTTGTTCAAAATCTTAAAGAAGACATGAAAATAGGAGCGGGAGGGAGGTATGTAATCTCTTCAAAAATTCCATTGATTATATTGACAACAAGTATTTCGAAGCTTGTTTGGTGTGAACAATAGTTAAATATAGAGGGTGAGACATAAAATTGGATTGGTGGATCAGTGACATTGAAAACTGGACACTTTCTGAAACAGGTACCTGGTTTCCCTGGTGGTGAGGGTGTGAATCAGATCTTATTTGCAAAGGGAGGATTAATTGTTGCACTCATCAGTAATACATATAACACTCAAAGTAAAATTGATGAACTGACAGTACAAGTAGAAATGAATTGGTATGATCTAGCATCCATTACTGAGGCATGATTAGGTCCTGAATTTTGAAGGGTACAGAAAGTACAGGAAGTAGAAAAAGGTGGAGCGGTGGCTCTGTTAGTTAATGATGATATTACTACAATAGATCTGCATTGGCTGAGGTTACCATGGCGATTTCATCTTTTCAACCTCATCCTTGTACCTGAGGCATGATGTACCTCAAGTTAAACTCACCATGAGTTCTCTCTCTCTCTCTCTCTGTCTCTAAGAGAGCAGCTCTATGGTCCTCTGGGATTATGACAAATTCACTTTATGAATAATACAGAGGAATGATCTAATGTAAGACCACCAAGATTTGAAAATGCTTTGTGCAGAAATGAAAAACGATAAAAGCAAAAGCAAAAATTCACTTGTCGGAGTATTGTACAGATCTCTAATAGTAACCACACAGGAGGGTGGAGTATAAAGGGAGAATTAATGAGAAGTTGGCAGAAAGGCAGTTTGATAATCATAGATTTTAATTTACACATCAACTGAGTATGCACTCTGTTCTCAGAGTGCTTCTGAGATAGCTTCTTAGAACAGAATTTTCAGAACTGATTAGAGAGGAGGATAGACTAGATATTTTGCAATGAGATAGGATTAATTAATAACCACATTGTGAAGGCACCTGTAGGTAACAGCATCTATAATTTCATTGAATTTAACATTCAGTTTTGAGGAACAGAGGAGTGTGTCTGAGACTATTTTATAAAATTTAAATAAGCACATGACAGTATGAAAACAAAGATGAATAAAGTGAATTAACAGATTAAGGAGAGATGCAATGGCAGCTATTGAAGAGATATTTCGGAGTACACAGAATAGATACATTTCAACATGTAAGAAATGTTAAAGATAGTAAAATAACTTAAAAACACATGACAAACGGCTGGTCAGAAGATTGGAGAGAAAATAAGAAAAAGCAAAGAATGATCAAAAATTTAACAAGGAGGGTAAAATTAGAGTATGAGAGTTGGTGCGTGTACAATACTTGGATTCCCAGAAAGCACTTTATAAATGGACACATCTAAAGTTATTGAAGAAAATAAACGCTTATGGTACAGGAGGTAGCATATTAGCATGAATACAAGATTGACAGGCAAACAAGAAGCAGAGTGTAGGGATAAATCAAACATTTTCACATAGAGAGATGGAAACAGTGGTGTGCCACAAGGATCAGTGCTGGGTTCTCAACTGTTTAAAATTTAAGTAAATGACTTGGATGAAACGATAGAAGGTATGGTTGCCAAGTTTGTTGACGACATAAAGATAGGCAAGAAAGTAAGTTGTGAAAACAGAAAGAGGCTCCAAAAAAAGATACAGATAGGTTAAGTGAGTGGGTAAAGCTGTGGAAAAATGGTATATAATGTATGGAAATGTAAAATTGTCCATTTTGGCAGGAAACATGAAAAATTTAAATGGAAAGAGATTGCAGACGTTGGATCCAAAAGGATCTGGGTGTTCTCATACATGAATCAATTGCAGACACAGCAAATAATTAGGAATAGAATGTTATCATTTAATGTGAGGGGAATTAAATATAAAAATTGGGATGTTATGCTTCAGGGTATGGGTGAGACTTCATCCAGAGTACAGAGCACTGTATTGTTGTCCTTATTAAAGGAGAGACGTGAATTCATTAAAAGTAGTGCAGAGAAGGTTTACCAGGCTAACACTTAGAATTAGTGGGTTGTCTTATGTGCCAGGTTATCATAGAATCCCTACAGCATGGAAGCAGGCCATTCCTCCAAACAGCATCCCACACAGACCCACCCCCTACCTTATAACCCCACATTTCCCATGGCTAATCCATCTAGCTTGCACATCCCTGGACATTATGAGCAATTTTTAGAATGGCCAGTCCACTGAAATTGTACCTCTTTGGACTGTGGGAGGAAACCAGAGCGCCTAGAGGAAACGCATGCAGACACGGGAAGAATGTATAAATTCTGTGCCTGGGTCCCTGGCGCTGTGAGGCAGCAATGATAATCATCGAGCCACTGTGCCACCAAGGTTGGACAAGCTAAGCGTATATCCCCTGCTCTTTAGAACATTAAAAGAGGACTTGATTTAAACTTAAAAGATCCTGAGGGTCATGACAGAATAGGTGTGGAGAGAATATTTGGTCTTAAAAGAGAATTTAGAATTAGGGGTCACTGTTTAAAAGTCAAGTATCACCCATTTAAAGCAGAAGTGAAGAAAATTACATTTTCTCTCAAAGGGTTGTTAGTCTGAAAATTTGGTAGAAACAGAATCCTTGAATATTTTTAAGGCAGAGACAGATTTTTCTTAGTCAAGGGGGCGAAAGGCTATCAAGGAAAGGCAGGAATGTGGCATTGGCGTTCAATCTGATAGGCCATTTCATTGAGATGCTGAATGACCTATCCCTGCCCCTGATGTTCAGACATTCGCAATCTGATTTATTTTGACATTTTCCATTACAGCTGTAGTGTATTTCTGCTTCCTGCTCAGCTTATTCAAGGGTGTAGATGCCAAACAGCCCTTGAGAAACAGGAACTGATCAGTCTAATTTCCAGGCCTTGGCCTACAGTGAAAAGCTTTAACTTATGTCGCACTTTTCCCAATCTCAAGACTTTCCAAAGCAGCTTTCAATCAATTAATGACCTTGGAAAATAAGCCATTCATCCAGTATGGCCATCACTCTGTCTTCTTGAAGTAGTTGGAGGTATAAGGTTTGATCTCAATAATTTACAGTAAATAATCAGAGAAACTGCTCTCTTGTGCTGTTTGATTGCTGCCTTCCTGTATTTTTGCTGCACTGACTACACGTGAAACCATCAAATTTAAATTGCTTCTGTGTAATTGTGATGTTATAAGGACAAATCAAGAAAACCTTGATGGGAAAATAATTTGTGTAGGGCCAAAAGATCAAAGGATGGAATGAAGGCTGACATAAATTTCAAAATTGTCCCCCATGCTCATTGGCAATTAGTTTGAGGCTCATACAATTACCATAAGATCTGAACAGATACCAAAGAGGATGCTTTCATGCATCAGAATGGGGTGACTGTTTTCAGGGAACAGTTCCTAGATAAGGCATTGTACCCTCGCAAAAAAAAACTATGCCCC